TCATAAGCTCTCGTGCTTATTTGTTCATGGCACAAATGCTTAATGAATATTTACAGTATGGTAATATATTAAATTTCCTTAAAGAACAGCCACTATTGGTTTTATGAATAAAATTCAAGGAAAATTTACTTCTTACTTTTTTACATAAAAAATTCAAATACTACATCGACTGTGTAGACCCAAAACTATATAATCAATTTATTTTATATTTGAGAGAATATACTCGTACTTATTACTATGCACTTATAGGTGTAGTAAATAAAAATTCTTCGAAAATGGAATTTTTAAATAACAAAACAGTTTTGGGCTTTTTGATAGATGTATAATATTTTCACTTATTGGTTATCTTGAAAATATTTTATTTTGTTTAATAGGTCGATTTTAATAATTACCGATTTAAATATGTACAAACTTATGTGATGCACTTATGGTGATTGTTTTTTAAATAGGAATTTTTTTACGCAATGCTGGCTCGTTTATTCATCGTCGAGTTATAAATTATTATCATAAACGCCTTTAAAAGTGTAAAATATGTGTTGTAAACCATGCAGGTACTCTTATATGCGAGTATACGAGCACATATGATGGAAATATGTCATAAAAATACATATTTTTTTTAGTTGGGGAAAAATGATTAACGTACGTAGAACGTATTATAAATACGATTTTCATCAACACAAGAAAAATTTTACTTTAATCATTATTTGTAGAAATAAAAATAAATAAATTATGTAGTAAAATTAATAATAATTCAATAGTTATAAGCATTATGTCTCTCAATATTTTTTTTTTAAATCACGAATAAAATAAAGTGAATAAATTTAAAACAATTTTGGTTATTGTTTGGTGATGACATTTCTTAATAATATTCTTCAGGACATCTTATATGGTGAAATTTGATTGCAAATTACCCTATGGGTGTGTTCAAGGGATAAAATTAACGAACAAAAATTTCTATGAACCATTTTTCTTCTATATTATCATATTTTTGTAGTTAAAAAATGAACGGTTCCATTAAAATTAAAAAATATAAAATACTTAATCTTTATAATCTAGATATGCATAAAAAAATAAAACATTTTCTGTTCAAAAATAGTATGTTACTACAATCAATAGTATAACTATAGAGATTGCTATAGATTTATTAAGATATATTATCTTAACTTTTATAGTTGAGAATTTTAAAATAACACAATTTTGTAACAAAAATATTATTTTTAAAACTACAAAAAATAATAAATAATATTTGAAATAAATATAAATTTAGTCTACAAAAAACAAAATAACCTATGAGTTTCAATTAAAAATGTATTAAAATAATCTGTAATATAAAGTATCTTTACACATGTTGACTAGTAAATTGCTTAAATCCACGTTTATAAAAATAATTTTATATTCAGTGATAAATGTTAGGATCTGAATTATGAATAACAAAATATTCAATACGAATGCAATATTTCCTGTAAATATATTAATGGAAAAACTATATACTAAGTTTTTTTTAAATCATTATAAACTAATAACCATTAAAACGATTTATATATTTATGAATAGGTAATATTCATTATATAAAATATGAAAGATTTGGGAAACTTTAAAAAATACCAAAAACGAGTAAATAAGTTAATTGGACATTCTCAAATTTAATAATATATCGGGAAATAGTATAAACATAATCGATGTTTTATAATGATCAAAAAAAAATCTGTTCAGTATTTCGTCGATCATATTTAATTCTAAAGCGAATGTACGGAAAATTCTTTGAAATTTAACTAAATTATTTAACGACCAAACATTTATACCCATCAATTAATATTATTATTAATATGTACAATAAAAATACTCACTTTAAGTATCATTATTAAATTTTAATAATAATAAAACGCATAATAAAATTTAGAACATAAATATTTACTTGAATAGTTTGTTAATAATAATGAGTACTGATGAGCGAGAGTCAATGGCCTCAAACGTTTGATCGTTATGGTTTTTTACTAAACTGCCGATATATTACCATTAGATAATCATTTAGTAAATCATTTTTCGCGTTTTTGTTCCTTTGTTTCTCTCATCACTCGCGCATGCGTGAATTGATCCATAACAACTATAATTGGAACAGCCATTGTATAAAATTCGTTTTTGGCGGTAAAATAAAACAATTGGTATTTTATATGTACATGCGTGGTATACGGGTTGATAATTTAATATCGAAAATTAATCAAGTAATAACTTCTGATCATTATTCGACACTAATAACTTTAGTGATTATTTATTTATTTATTGAAATAATATACGGGTTAGGACGTTTAGTATGTTCAATAATGGGAATTTATTGCCTCATTTGTTTATTTAGTGTATCTAGTATATTATAATCAATAACTGTTCTACATGATAAAATATAACTGTAACACAAATTATTGTGATTTATCAGATTTTATATAAATAGGTAAATTGTACTATTTGACTTAAAATATTTGCTTTGATATTTAGTTTATTGAAGTATTTATTTTCAACAAATTCCAAAAACATTAAACTATTCATATTTTTGTAGAAATAATATTAAAGTTTAATTAATAAAATACAATATATTATTTTCTAAGAATAAAGAATTATTTTATATAAATATATATGTGTTATATATTAATCTGTGTGTGTTTTTGTATATCCAAAACTATATTAAATTCGAATTAAACAAATAAACCAATTTAATACTTTTGAACCATGTGTGAGACGAAAAAAGGTTAACCATAAGTCCCGGGATGAGTTTTTAGGTGTTTATACACATGAAATGTATACAATCACATAAAAATTATCTTTTTATGGAGTGCAATATGGTTTTCCGACCCTATTGTGCTTGCGCACACCATCTGACATTTCTATTGCATTAGCTACAGCCCCAACAGCTACTCGTTCTTTATCCCTTAATACCTACACAGCCTTTACATTAGTTTTTTATTTGAGTTTAATATTTTCATTAAAATTTCTATTAATATTTTCTCGACCACTGACTATTGTTTTAAGTGTGTTGATAATATTATAATTCCGAAATGTGTACTGTTCGATTTAGATAAAACTAAATGGTAGAGGAAACTCATGGTAGGAGGTATGTTTAAGACAGAGAGCGAGTAATGACAATGATAACGGGCGAGTGAATTTAGGAACAGACCATAATGGTATGATAAATACATAATTTACAGAAAGTGCAGGTAGAGGATTCTTTGGAAACAGTGCGACGAAGACAAATTATTTGGTTCATTGCTGAGAAATAGAGTTTTGTACAGATGGTTAAATAGGAAAAGTAATAAAAAAAAACCTTAATCGTATAGCCGTTTATTTGTTACGTTGAAATGATATAACGGTGAGAGACAGCAAAAGCATCATAATAGCTCTAACGGAATGAAACTGTTATTTTAATCTTTCGTTTTCGACCAAACTTTTCCAAGTAAAGGATATTATTACAAATATACTGTTATATAATATTATTATATATAAATTATTTATATTATATCATACTGCTATAATTTTATCATTGATAGGATTACTATTATATTACTATTCTTAGTGCTCTTAACACCGATACTTAGTGGTATAAAGGTAATAAATTGGGAACTTAGGAACTTTATTTATTCCCCATGACTTCATAAAATATTTTAAAAAGTAAGTAGGGCTATATGAAAAAAATCTTTGAATTGTGGTGAAATAAAAGATCAATCAAATAAAAGATAACGCATTATCTAAAATAGATAGAGCATATTAACTCACATACAAAAAAAAAAAAAAAAATAGGAAAATCTCTTACACCTTTAAACAACTTAGATCTACTTTAAAGAAAAATCTAATTAAAGCAGTATAAAAGGCACTTGTAAAATTTGAAGCACTAACCTATTATGTAATTTACCACTTTTGTTATTATAATCTTTAATGCTTATTACTTATATTTATGACTTCAACTAAATTATCATTAATAAATTAACATAGTATAATTAGTTAAGATATTATTCATAAGACGTGCGGAAATTCGATAAAACATAAATCACTATTTACGTAGTAGAATTATTGGCATACCGATAACTGTATCGGAATTTTAAATTTCATGATCAGAAACCCTTTATTTCACAAGTATTGTATTTTCGTAGTAAGCTTTTATTTTATCTACATGATTTCTCTTTTTGACATGCTCATAAATACGGACGACAATCGCTTGATAAGACATAATAAATACGATGTAGATGACCATCGTATACCTTAGTATACTTTTCAAACTGTCAAATATGTAAAACTCAAGTTGTTTATTTTATTTTATATTTTTCTTTAACAATCAAAATAAATTTTTAAAATATGTGATAATTTATCTATTGTTTAACTCGAAGTTTAAAACAATAATTACGTTAAAAATTATTGAGCCAATAAATATGAAATTGATTTAATTACCTTAAACGAACTTTTATGTCACTTCATTAATTATAATTGTATTAAATGGTCAAAAACTTGTATATGTGTATATAATTGATCTACAAATATATATCATCGTAATCGAATAATCATTAATTAGTATTCTTCATTAACCAAGTAATAATCAATTTTAATTTGCTATCATACATACATACATACATGGTAGTTGTGGTTATCGGAAATTTGTATTACAAATAGTAAATATTTCATAATAATTGTGTAAATGCAAATTCATCACGTGTTTGTAATTTAAATATCAAATTACTCAGCGTTCATATGAACAATAAATCTGTCATTTATAAAATATCCATGAGAATTTTACTGTATGATGAATTGTAAAAAAAAAAATCGAAAATATTTTAAAACCCTCATAAATTTAAATAAAATTTAATCCCCTAGTAGGTAACAGAAGTATTAATTTGAAACTAATAAAAATTAAATTAATTCATTCGACTTTTTAAAAATAAAATCTTATGATTGTCTGAAATACAGAGCAATGCATTTTTGTAGACTGGTTCAATAAATTCAAAAATAACAAATCAACTTACTTCTAGAGTAGTAGCCAAATTAAACATTCATAAGCTCAATTAGGCTATAACTTGGGCGGTTAATGAATCTTTTTCTCTCTATCTCTCTTATTTTAATCACAATTAGCGATTCTTTTGTAACTTATTTCGCTGAGGAAGATGACGGAATTAACTGTTCGATGATCTAAAAACATGAAAATAAGATATTAGTTGATTTTATAAACTATATAGTATATTTTCTTAATATATAAATTGTCATTGCTGACGGTTTTTTTTTAACCCTTTTGTTTAATACTTTGTTTCCGTCAATTTTTGAATATTAAAACGTTAATTAAACATCATTATAATTTATAAATACGCATAATTGTTTATATGAAAACCAGGCGAAAGTCCTTACTACTTATGTACAAATTCTGTGAATACATTATTTTTTTAAATCAATTTAATATTATTTTGGGTTTGTATTTTTGCTAATGTTTTTGTATAATCGACATATCAATTACCAACACAAACAATTAATTACAATTGTTATAAGTTTATATAAACTAATATTTAACTGAAAGATATCTAATAAATATTCTACGACTACGCATATTATCAATATAATTGTTGTACAACCGAACATCGGGCGGCGCGTTAAATAGGCAATAATATGGCAGATGCGTGTAGGTGTTTATGTGAAATTCTTAATCATTTCGTAAGAATTATATTTTACGGGATGAAATGCCTTATGTTTTGGAATTATTAATAATTTTAGTTCGGCAATTTTCATCATTTTATGCAATCATTGTTCATATTTTTATTGGATTTAATAAATATGTGTTCATGAAATCATGAATGTGTTTGTATACAATTCTATGATGGTCAGTGGCACCTAACCCTATTGCTAGTTGTAGCAGCCGCTATGCCTAGAAAATAAGGAGTGAGTGGGTACTGTAACTTATAAGTTAAAATAATAAATTTGAGACATATTAATTATTTTTATTGTTAAAATTAATTATGATAAAATTATGTTATACATGTTTTATATTATTTCTTTGTTAATATTTATACATTATTTGTATAATACCTAAAATATTAACAAATAATGAAACAAATAAAGGTAATTTAAATGTTGAGTTTTCCGGGAGATGGGTGGGTATAGTAATATCCCAATGCATCTAAAAATCATGTCTGGGACGCCACCAATAGCGAGATACCATACTGTAGAATTAATGACTAAACATTTGATTACAACTAAATCGATGTACCACATGATAGTAATAACATGGAAGACTCGTTAAATATCGTGACTTAAACATAACGTGTTGAAATATTGTACGAATAACATGAAATGCATAGAAGAAGTCATTCAACTCTAGCCATTATTACTGTGACGACGTAACAAGTTGGTGCTTGCGACGGAATCTGAAGCGCTTGCGTGATTTCAAGTTAAACTTTGGTTTTTACGACGGAACAATAAAACACCTACACAAACACACGCACTTCCAATCTAACTCAGCACTTATGAGCTTCCATTTAAATTGTGTGGCTTACCACTAAGAGATTAACGGTTTTGTATAATTTCCTTTGAATATATACATCCACTTGACGTTACTAAAACTTACGTTATAATTTCGTCCGGCAAAATTTCAACATTTTTTTTCAAGTAAAATTTACAATCTTAATACACAAGATAATACATTAAATCAGTCAATGATAACATTAATATAGGTACATGTGACAATGCAAGAGAAGAAAGCAATCATTAACATTACTTCTAATACGATAAAAAAAAAATAAGGTTTGATATAAATTAATATTGTATGTATTATTTAAAATATCATGTGGTCGATAAAATTTGAAACAGCGAAAAGTTGGACAAAAATCATTATATTAAATGCAAAAAAATTCAAATTTCAAATGATAGATTGTTTATACACATCCTATGGTATTTGAATTTTTTTTTTTTTTTTTGACAAAACACTTATCTTAAGTTCACTTAATACTATATACAACATAACTATAATGATTATAAAACTTAGATTCATTATGAATAGTTAGATAATGTAATTAAAATGATTTCACAAAGTACGACGGGTATACGTCCCAGACGAGTTGCTAGTTTGTGGACTAGTCGGACTCGCTTGCAGAATTACAATTAAAAAAAAAAACCAATTACAAATCAATAAAAAAAATAGAATAGTAATGAAACGGGATGGATGATCTGTTATATATCCGTCATCGTTAAGGATCTCCATATAATAAGAAAATATTAAATTATAAAAAATTCCGCAACCGGTGCTTGTGGTACAGCACTTAATAATAAGAATTATAGAAAAATATTAACATCCTGGATCAAATATAATTAAAAAATATACATTAGCAGCCCCGGAAGGCTATAGGCTATTGTCACGTTACAAAGCGACAAATTAAGTTGTGTATACCTTGATTTTGGTACAATATTTTTCAATTGTGATATAGTACACTCAATGTCGTAACCACCCTTTATGGTAAATTTTATCCGGGTGCTCCTTTAATAATTAATCTTAATTAAAAAAAAATATATTTAATTTAATTCAAATGCTTCCCCCTTTTCTTTTTTGCACCTTTGGCAACCACCCATTTTGCAACCTTTAGTTGACTTAGCACTAAGTATACTTTTATGTTAACAATGACTTTAATACTTAAAATTACACGTGAAGAACTTTATGAATTTATTATAGCTAACTGTTCTATCGTACAATTTAGGAGAAAAAAAATATTGCACTAAATTATGTTTTATAATATTCGCGTGATAACTATCGTCCGCACAACAAGTATTATTCCCGCTTCTTATTTCTGAAACTCATCGTAAGTACAATTAGGTGTGTCAAAACTAAATAACTGGGAAAGAACAATCTTTCAGAAAATCTGTCCATACCAAAAATCTTTCAATCCAGTCAAGCAACACATGTCTCATAACTACCACCTATAATTGTTAGAAGAGTTATTGATTTTATTAGTTGGTCAAGACAATTTCGCATTTAAATTCACTATCAACAGTTTAAAAATGTTATAAACAATCCATTGATACAGTAAATTTAATTTTATTGAATGCCCAATTGAAGTTTCAATGGCTGGGTAATATACATGTGCATTTTGTATGTCTTATGTTATTAAGTTATAAACTACGAGTATCATTCAATATACGAGGTCACCAATTGGTATTAAACAAACATGTATCTTAATACACTATTCCTAATAGACAATACCTATATTTATTTTATATTTCGGTTATTACTCACAGGAATTTACCATACATTGTGCAATATTAAGTTTTCAAACGAATGAACATTACATTACATACCTAATCACAAGTTAGAATAAGTTCTTAATTATCAATTTATTTTTGTGTTTTCTTTTTTTCCTAGTTTATAGTGCCTGCGAATCGATTTTTTTTTACCCTGGTTTTCTTCTGTGTTATAAAAATACAATTTTTATAATGATCGGTTTACATGCTAACTATTCATAAATGCACGTGTATTATATAGATTTATGTCGGCAGACAGTGGATTGGTTTATTTTTCAATAAGTCATAAAAATATATGGTTACACCGTGACACTGAGTACCTATGTTATTGTCAACCGTATAGAGCGTTGGTATTACGATATATAAACGCGCTATTGTAGTACATGAGGGCTTAGGATTATCAGTTATTAATGGACTGATATTTTTTCAGAGCATAAAAAGACAATTTAAAAATAAATCCAGAATAATATAATCCGTTAAATAAATGCACTTAAATTATTAAATACCAATGAATCAATCTGCAATGTGGTTATACCGGTATAATATCATAATAGTTGTTGTAAGTAATTTATCCAATAAGTTGAGTCTATCAAAAATAATTCTTAATATTAAATTTAAGAAAATTAAAAGTTACATGATTATTTGATTAATTAAGTAACATATTTAGAAAAAACATCAAATCGCACACCGATATAAACGATATTAAATATTTTCTCATATTAGAAAATTAATAAATCAACTTATTCCAATATATTACCCAGCCAAACACACAACACCTTCTGAAATAATTTAATATAATAAAAAAATTACCTAACATAAAAGCACTAGAAACCAATATGATAACTAATCCTATCCTAAAAAATCTAGCAAAAAATTATTATTTGTATATATGTATATATCCACAACATTTGTTTGATACTATCGTATTTCAATGAAATATTAAGGAGTCATAATGTTTTTAGAAATAAATGTATTCAATAGTGTAGCCAGGATGGTTTTGGATGTTGTAATCCTCTCCAGTAATTTTTTCCAGCTTTAGATGAGATGGTTAAAAAGTTTTTATTTTAGCTGCCGCCTGCTGTGTATCAAGTCTAGTTGTAGAAAATATCCCAAAAACTTAAGAAATGTTCCACTTCATAATTATATATCATAAATAATATCGATAATACTTGGTTGTATATATATATATATAAGAATAAAGTATGGAAATTTGATGCAGTTGTCATTAATTGATTTATAATTATATTGAAATGATTGTAAAATGAGATATGATGGTGTTGACTTACTGCTAAATCAAATTTATCAGCCATGGGCTCGATGTTCAAGCAATAATTATTCCTCAATTTAATTATTTTAAATTGCATTTATACTAATTCAATTATTCGAAGAAGTTTTTTCTAACATAAAATTACCAGGAACTAATAAAATACTGGTTCCAAGAAAAGGTTCCTCGTTGTGTTAATTGTATTAATTAACATACATTTAAAAGTAATGTGATGAACTATGGTGTTTGAAAAAAATTTCTGATCCATATTAAACACATATTAATCTTAGTTATATAATTGTAAATATTCATAATACTCTACGGTATATTTAAATGATTAAAATATGAAACAAAAAATATATATCATCTATCTTTATCTAATCTTAAACATTTTATAGTTGATAGAACTGATTAATAAGATTAACCAACTTAGGAAACCAAAAAAAAGTACTTAATGAAAATTAAAAATTAATGCACTGTTAATTTTACTTAGAATCTGTGATAATAGAATATAATATTAAAATCATTAATTAAGTTCGAATAAAAAGTATTAAATATTATACACAGTAAAAATTAACTTATTGTTCTTCTTTTTAGATCATTTTTCATTTATTTATTTAAGATATGAATTAGATTATATTGTAGATAA